AGTAGTAGTAGTAGTAGTAGTAGCAGTGATAGTCGTAGTCGTAGTCGTAATGGTAGTAGTAGTAGTAGTGGTAGTAGTGGTAGTAGTAGTAGTAGTAGTAGTAGTAGTAGTAGTCGTAGTATTAGTCGTAGTAGTCGTAATACGGTAGCAGTAGTATTAGTCGTCTTCATATTCGTTGTAGTAGTAGTCATCGTAGTTGCCGTAGTCGAAGCAGCAGTAGTAGTAGTAGTAGCGGTAGTGCTCGTAGTTGTACGGCTAGTGGTGGGCGGAATGTCACTTAGAAGAAACAGTAGGCATACATCAGAATAGTAGTCGTAGTCGCAATACTCGTGATACTAGTCGTAGTCGTAATTTTAGCAGTAGTAGTAGTAGTGGTGGTCGTAGACGTAGTCCTAGTAGTAGTAGTAGTAGTAGCAACAGCAGTGCTAGTAATCATGAAAATGGTAGCAGTAAAAGTAGTAGAAGTAGTAGTAGTCGCAGTAGTAGTAGTAGTAGTAGTAGTAGTAGTAGTAGTAGGAATAAGTCGTGGTAGTAGTAGTAGTAGTAGTAGTAGTAGTAGTAGTCGTAGTAGTAGTAGTAGTAGTAGTAGTAGTAGTAGTAGTAGTAGTAGTAGTAAGTAGTAGTAGTAGTAGTAGTAGTAGTAGTAGTAGTAGTAGTAGTAGTAGTAGTAGTAGTAGTAGTAGTAGTAGTAGTAGTAGTAGTAGTAGTAGTCGTAGTAGTAGTAGTAGTAGTAGTAGTAGTAGTAGTAGTAGTAGTAGTAGTAGTAGTCTAGGTACGTAGTAGTAGTAGTAGTAGTAGTAGTAGTAGTAGTAGTAGTAGTAGTCGGTAGTAGTAGTAGTAGTCGTAGTAGTAGTAGTAGTAGTAGTAGTAGTAGTAGTAGTAGTAGTAGTAGTAGTAGTAGTAGTAGTAGTAGTAGTAGTAGTAGTAGTAGTAGTAGTAGTAGTAGTAGTAGTAGTCGTGGCAGTGTTAGTAGTAGTAGTAGTAGTAGTAGTAGTAGTAGTAGTAGTAGTAGTAGTAGTAGTAGTAATAGTAGTAGTAGTAGTAGTAGTAGTAGTAGTAGTCGTAGTGTATGTAGATGTAGATGTAGTAGCAGTAATGTTAGTAGTAGTCATCGTAGTAGTAGTAGTAGTAGTAGTAGTAATTGTAGTGGTAGTAATTGTAGTGGTCGTAGACGTAGTAGTAGTAGTAGTAGTAGTAGTAATATAGTCGTAGTATTCGTAACACCAATAAATAATGAACATAGTAGTCGTAGCAGTAATTAGTTATAGTAGTAGTAGTAGTAGTCGTAGTAGTAGTAGTAGTAGTAGTAGTAGTGGTAGCAATAGTAGTAGTAGCCGTAGCGCTAGTGGTAGTAGTAGTAGTGATGATAGTAGTAGTAGTAGTAGTAGTAGTAGTCGTAGTAGCAGTAGTAGTAGTTGTTGTGTTGTTGTAGTAGTGGTAACAGTAGTCGTAGTGGTAGTCGTAGTAGTAGTAGTAGTAGTAGTAGTAGTCGTAGTAGTAGTAGTAGTCGTAGTAGTAATAATAATCGCAGTAGCAGTAGTAGTAGTGGTCGTCGTAGTAGTAGTAGTAGTAGTAGTAATAGTAGTAGTGGCAGTAGTAGTAGTAGTAGTAGTAGTAGTAGTAGTAGTAGTAGTAGTAGTAGTAGTCGTAGTAGTAGTGGTAGTAGTAATAATACTAGTATTAGGGTTGTCTGGAATTCTTGTTCCGCATGTAGAGGGTGTGAAGGGTGTAAGGTTTCGGGCTCAGTGTCGGGAACGCGCGAGCGAAACAAACAAAATTGAATCGGACTCCCTATGGGAAGGTGTAGCGGTTCTGGATTCCACAACAATCAAATATTCCAGACAGATGTTCAATAGGATTTCCCATGGAATGTGGAGCGCCTTTGGATCCCACAAAAAACGTATTTTCCATTTAGAGAGGAAACGGGTTCTATGGGAAACGGGGCCTGGACTCCAAAGCCTCCCCCAATACAGTTCTATTCGTCTTTAATCGTTCTGTTACAAAACCAAGACCCATGGAGGGCGCTGGGGGCCCGAAAACAACGAACAAACCTCAGAACCCGCTTCCCTGATGACCCGCTTGCTTCATGGCGAATGCCCCACCCCTCCCTGAAGGCAAGCCCGAACTTCCCCCCCGTGTAGGTCCTTCAACTGCTCCTATAGGAGGGGCGGGACCTCCAACTCCTCCTAGCATATCGGCCTCCCTGGAGTGCAGGAAATGATGTGACCTAGGAGGCCTTCCCTCAGGACCCATTTGCTTCATGTTGAGAAAGATTGGCCGTTCCAGCATTCTTATAGGCCTACCGCGACATATTCTTAGAACCAGTGAGTGTTATAGTATCAAAACAATGTTCTCACACCAGAAAGCCGACCGGTTGCAACAGGACTGCCCCAACCAGAAATCTTCGAAGAACATGTCGTACCAACCACGCACGCTTCTTAGAACATGATTTGGCATACCTATAAGCAAAGTCAGGACGCTTCGCCACAGCGCAATGATGGCGAGGGACCCCTCCAGGAACACGAAAACGCTGAAACACCTGAGGGCCCATTTTCCTCAGCACCCGCCTGCAAGACTCGGGTTCGCGGGACTCGGGTGGGCCTGACGGGGCCGTCAGGACAGTGATGAGACCCAGTCTGAAATTCGACGCGACCTCCCGCTGCAGACACCCCACGAAAACCGGACTGTCAAAGTCCACTCCAAAAGCGTCAGCGGACCCGAGTTCCAGCGAGCTCGAGTCCTACGGCTCCCCGATTCGTGGCGACCCCGCGGGGCCGACACCGAGGCACACTCTTTGCGCTGGCGGCCAGGCAGGGGGACGTCTGCGCTGGCGATGGGCTCCATAAGTGGGGACGCCGTCAGAGCGAAGTGTGCCCTCGAGGGAGACACGCCGGCACGGTGGGGGCATTGGAAGGAAACCTTCGATAAGGAATTCAGGGTCTGGAGGCCGGTGGAAAGCCAATCGTGGATTGGCCACGTATATCACCGCCGCCCTCATCAGATAAGGAATCCTCCAGGGTCTGCATCGGCTATACGCAAGAGGGACCCTGGGTAAGAGTGACCTTTGGTGCGCGGCTTCTTGGGGGCCGCGGGGGGGACCAAGCCTGGGCGCGCAAGCAGCTGCTGCTGCTTCGTCTTCGGCCATCTGGGGGCCCATCTGTGCCCGCACCACAGGCCCCTCCTGCGAAAGGTCACCCTTACGTCTGGTCGTCTGCAGCCTCCTGGGCGTGGTCCTGAACCACCGCCCCCACCGCACGAGGACGCATGCCGTCGGAGGTCTGCCCTTTGGGGCCACGCCTCGGGTCCCAGGCAGCCGCTCGGGACGCTCCTGGGGACGCCCCCCGTCGAGGCGTGCCCGACTTCGAATTAGCTGGTGGGAGGCACCCCGAGGCGGGAACACCTCCAGGGAAGCCAACGGGAACTTCCGAAAACCTTCGGGAGTCAACGAGCACCCCTCCCCAGCGGTGCCCCCCGATCTTCCCCGCGGGGCGTAGGGCGAGGCACATATCCGTACCCATCGGTCGTAAGAAGTAGGTAGAAACATGAAGTAGGAAGGCCTTGGAAGTATATTGGGTGTTTGCCCGCCCCCTAAAGAGGACGGAAAAGGTGAAGCCACTCGATCATCGAAGTAGGAAGACGCTTAAAGTATAATGGAATCTGGGAATCCACAAATACATACTTTCAACGATCGATGGGTACCCGCGGCCTCGCGGGCCAGGCCCCTGGGTCGCGACCCCGCGGATAGTTACGGGGCACTTCTGCGCGGATGGCCAGCGCGAAACGTATCGGTACGACTGCGCCTCCGCGGGCTCGCGCTCCGAACCCAGACCGCGAGGGCGTTTGTATGTAAATACGTTCGCCGCTCGTGATCAACATTGAACGAACAATGACATAAACATAACAAATCGGAGATCCGCGCGGATTTCTCGGATCGGCGCTGGACCCCCCTCCCTGGCGCGCGGAGCGCGCCAGGGGCGGCGCGCTCCGCCAGGGGGCCCCAGCGCCGATCCGAGAAATCCGCACCGCCACGGGGCCCCAGCGCCGATCCGAGAAATCCGCGCGGACCTCCGAGTTTTCATGTTTATGTCATTGCTCGTTCCCCTAACATTGCCCCTGATCTTCCCCTTTGATCATCGTTTTGTCGTTTTCGGGCCATAGCTCAGGTCTCCGGCGTCGTTCGGGACGATGCAGGCACCCCTGGAACGCTCGCGGCGAAGCGCAGCCGCTGGAACGCATCCCGAGGCAAGAAAGCAGCCGAGAACCGACGGAAACACCCCGTTGCTCCCCAGGACGCTTCGCCACTGCTTGATCATGGTGCCAGGGGCGGCGCCAGAGGCGCTGCCAGGGGGCCCAGGCGCCGACCCAAGAACCCCGCGCGGACCTCCGAGAAGCTATGCCTCTGCCGCCTTTTACTGTTCGGTTGCTCTGCCTTCCTTGTTCCCCGGTTCCTGGCGACAGCCCGCCCTCCCCCTCCCAGCGCTGCCCCCGACCTCCCCTGCGGGGAGACGGGCGGCCCCCGCCTGCCCTGGCGCCCGGCGTGCCCCACAGCGGGGCCAGCGGCTGCCCGCTTGCACTGCTCGAGCAGGGCTCTCCTCAAACGCCCAGTGTGCAGCTGAGCAGCGCGACCGCCCGTGGCGGACCGACACCGGACCCAGAAGAGGCTGCGAAGAGCGGGAGGCAGAGACCCTGGCGAGAAACTCTCCCACGACTCCGCAGCTGCATGGAGGCTGGCATATCGCATCCTGGGCCGAGGGCTCCACAGGCCCCCCCCCAAGATGGCCGGGGGGGGGGAAGACGACGACGGGCGACGACGACGACGAGGAGGACGACGACGGGCTACGACGAGGTCGAGGACGAGGACGAGGACGAGGACGAGGGCGACGGCGACGACGACGACGACGAGGAGGAGGACGGCGACGACGACGACGACGACGACGACGACGGCGACGACGACGACGACGGCGACGGCGACGGCGAGGCTTCCCCTGGCGACGGGCGGCCTCCGCCAGCCCAGCGCCCGGCGTGCCCCCCGGCGGGAACAGCGGCGGCCCGTGCGCGAAGAGGCTCGGCACCTCCGCCGGCGCGCGGCCGGCCTCCTCGCCGTCCTGCGCGCGGGGAGCCCCGACTCCTCCTCCTCCTCCTCCTCCTCCTCCTCGTCTTCCTCCTCCTCCTCCTCCTCCTCCTCCTCCTTCTCGTCTTCCCCTCCTCCTCTTCGTCCTCCTCTTTCTCCTCGTCCTCCTCCTCCTCGTCCTCCTCTTCCTCCCCCAGCCCCCCCCATCCTCTTCCTCCTCCTCCTCCTCCTCCTCCTCCTCCTCCTCCTTCTCCTCGTCCTCCTCCTCCTCCTCCTCCTCCTCCTTCTCCTCCTCCTACTCCTCCAGACCCCCTCGAGGTCAAGGTCAAAGTCAAGCCCGTGCGCTGGAAGGCGAGCCCATGAAGGGCGCAGGCGGTGGCAATCGGCAGCGTGCTATACACGCGCGCGCCACGGTGAAACAGTGCGTGCGTCAGAACGGGGGGGTGGCTCATTCACATGGCGTGTTCATAGGGAATGGCAGCAGAAATTCTGGAAATCAGCGGCACGCATTTGGAAAACATTCAGACCCCCTCGAGGGCACGACGAAAATTGTGCCGGGAGGTTTTGCGCCGTTTTCGGCCCCTGGGGGCCTCGGCCAGGCCTCGGGGCCGTCCGAGAACGGCTCAGGATGAGAAGCCTGTGCCAGGGCATGGGTCCAGACCTCTGGGGGTCGACGTCATGAAACAATCATGTCGTCAAGTTTGCATTCAGGCAAGTTTGCTGGCATGGCATTCGCTCTCCCCCCCTCGCCCATCTTCAGACGAATACTGGCGTGCAAGTGCCTTTCGACTAGCGTGGCTTCTGCACGTGCAAGTCGTTTGCAGCTTACTTCAGGCTCAAGCCCCCCCCCGTCCATGCAAGTAAACTTGCTGGAGTCAAAAAACAGGCTCGAACCCTGAGAGCCTGGCGACTCAATTTTTCCGAGCCGGGCGATTTTTCGTTCCATTTCGGGCCCCGGGGCCCTCACATATCGATCTGGCTCTGATCGATCTGGGTCATCGGGTCTGGTAGTTATTTTTTTGGTTTTCCGATGCTGTATTTTTTGGCGACGTCGGATCTCACGGAGTGGCATCCAATCTCGAGCTTCCGACCTCGAGCCTCGGACCTCGGACCTCGAAGGTCGAGGATCAAACCTCGAAGGTTCGAGGCCTCGCGGGTTCGAGGTCCGCATCGCTGCTGGAAGTTCTTCGATCGAAGGTCGAGGCATGCTGGCGTTTTCGTACATAGGTCCTCGGCGGCTTTTCAGCTTCGGGATGCTCTCCAGCACTCTTCGTTCGAAGTTCCAGGCATTCTGGCGTTTCCGTAGGTTCTCGGCGGCTCTTCAGCTTCGGGATGCTCTCCAGCACCTGTGCCTCACCGAGAGCGTTCCAGGGGTGCCCGGATCGTCCCGAACGGTCGCCGGAGACCCGAGTTATGGCTCGAAAACCAGGCGACCCTGACACCCTCTCACCGTGGAAAATATCACGGTGCAGACTTTTTGCGGATTCTGCCTGGAAAATGAGCCGAAGCGAGCGGGTTGAGCCAGATCGAGATGGATTGAGCCGGATTCGCACAGTTTCTGCGCTTGATTCGAAGAATGCGCCCCAGAGAGGCATCCTGGGGCTTCCGTGGTGGCCTTCCTGGGGGGCCTCTTCTGGTTCGCCGCAGTCGGCAGGCACCCTGCAAGCCTCGGCAAAAACGTATTGAAACGCTGCTCAAGACCGAGGCGCTCGATAGTTCTGGCACTTGTCAGACCACGTGTTCTTCAATGCTGTGAGGGTGCTGCCGGATTTCGGACACCCCTGCGTCTGGGCCGAATACCTCCTAATACCTCCTGCCAACATTGCAGTAGCGCCAACTACGCAAGCACCGAAAACAAACACCGTCAATTTATTTGTTGGACGAGTCTTGTAGGGTGCCGATGGCAGCGATTCCCAAATGCGGCCGTGGGGCCTCGCTGGGAAATCCCGCATTTCTGTTCCACTGCCGACCATCCTGTGGTGTTGGGTCCTCGGACTGAGGAATCATCGCCCCGCGCTCCTCACCTCCGCCTCCCGCTCCTCCCTCCTCTCATCCTTGCCTCTGCTTTCCGCATGTCAGCCATCTTGGTATACCACTCGCGCATGTCGTGGCCTCAGTGGGAGCTCCTCCGGACGCCCCAGAGGCGGCGATCGCATGCGTCCCCCGCGCCAGGTGCAGCGCAGCGTGAGCCCAGAAAGAGCGAGCTCCCCCGAAGGCCCTAGAGGCGACGTTCGCATGCGCTCCCCCCCCCCCACCCCACCCAGTACCCCGTGGGGAGCTCCACCAAAGACTCTAGAGGCGACGTTCGCATGCGTCCCTCCCCGCCCAGTACAGCAGCGCTTCGTGGCCACATAGTACAGCGCTTCGTGGCCCCAGAGGAAATTCCACCGACGGCTTCAGAGGCAACGTTCGCATACCCCCCCTCCCAGGACAGCGCTTCGTGGTCCCATAGGGAGCCCCACCGAAGGCCCCAGAGGCAACGTCCGCATGCATCCGCCCCACCTAGTATATTGCTCTGTGGCCCCAGGGGGAGCTCCACCGAAGGCTCCAGAGGCAACGTTCGCATGCCCCCCCCTCCCAGGACAGCGTGTCGTGGCCCCAGAGGGAACTCCACCGAAGGCTCCAGAGGCGACGTTCGCATGACCCCCCCACCCATTGCAGCGTGTCGTGGCCCCATCGTGAGCTCCACCGAAGGTCCAGAGGCGACGTTCTCATGCGTCACCCTCGCCCAGTGCAGCGCTTTGTGGCCTCTCAGGGAGCTCCACCGGAGGCCTAGTGGCCGCGACCGCATGCGTCTCCAACACGGCACTCCCCTCGCGCGCTTCGTGGCCTCATGAGAAACTCCACCGCAAGCGGTACCCACACCGTGGTACTCACAACTGCAAATGGTTGGGCCCTTCGCCTGGATCATTAACATGTAGTTTTTCCATATGTTTTTGTTGGGTTCTCCACTCTTTGAGCATCCGACGCTCTAAGACGGCCCAGGAGGCCCCCAAGACCGCCTGAAAACGGCCCAAGAGGCCCCAAAGTCGACCCAAGAGATCCCCAAGACGGCATAGAACAGCCCCAAGACGGCCCCCAAAGGGGCCCAAGAGTGGGAGCCCGAACCGAAAAGTCGAGCCTTCCGTCCCAAGATTCCCCCAGGCGGCTCCAAGAGGTCCTCAAGAGGCCACATGAGGCCCCCAGAAGCACCCACAATGTTTCAAGAGGCCCCAAAAGGGCCCCCAAGAGGCATCAAAACTGCCTCCACGAGGCCCCCGAGAGGCCTCCCGTGACATCCCAACGAGCACCCAACAGGCCAATGACCCACAACCCAGGCACGGTGGCAGGATGGGCCGAAGGCCAGTAAACCTGCTTGGCACAGGGACGGACAGCACTTGTACTCTATAAGGGCGCGAGATCGCTTGCTCAGTGTCTTGGAGCCCTCTTGGTGTTAAGACTTTGGTACGTCACAGAAAAATCTAACAACCAACTTTGCGAAAATCAATGAATATAGCATCTCTGGGCCTTCTCGGGGGTTCTTTTGGGGTTCCTTTGGGCCGTCTTGGGGCTCTCTTAGGCCGTCTTGGGGGTCTTGGGCCGTCTCAGGGCCCTCTTGGGAACCTCCGGTGGTCCTCTTGGCCTCTCTTGGGCCGTCTTGGGGCCGTCTTGGAGGCATCTTGTGCCGTCTTTGGGGTGGGGGCCTGGGGGCCTCTTGGGCCGTGGTGGAGCCTGTGAAGAACAACAAAACATGCAGAACATATACGTTTACCCAGGGGGATAAACGATTTTTGGATTTGTGCCTCTGGGACATTCTTTTGGAGGCCTTGTGGAGTCTTGAGGGCCTCCTTGGCCGCCTTGAGGCCGACCTGGGCCATCTTTGAGCGCTCTCGGGCCGTGTTGGGGCCCTCTTGGGCGTCCCTGAAGTCGTCGTGGCGGTAGCTTGGTTGCTCTTGGGGCCGTCTTGGGTCGTCTTGGGGCCCTCTTGGGGCTGACTGGGGCACTCTAGGACCTAGCATGGCCGAACATCGGGCCATAAGACCTGCTTGGCACGGAGACGGAAAGCGCATTTACTTTCAGAGCGCGAGTTGTCGCTGGCTTGCCCGTTCTTTCTCTCTGGCTCCCCGTCTGGAGACTCTCTTGGGGCATCTTGGTGGCATATTGGGCGCCCTCTAGGGCTATCTAGAAGCCGCAGGAGGCCTCTTCAGGGGGAACTGGGGCGTGTTGGTATCTTTGGAAGGCACCAGAGCGCGAGAAAGTACGAATGAAACTTCTGATGATACTGTTGATGATGATGATGATGATGATGATGATGATGATGATGACGACGACATACTGTTTCTTGGAGTTGGGAGCATCTTGGGCCTCTCCCAGGCCCTCCTTGGGCCGTCTTGAGGCTCCCTTAGGCCGTCTTGGGACCCATTTGGGCCGTCCTCAGGCCCTCTTGGGAGCCTCTCTGGCCGTCATGGCACAATCTCGGGGGGTCCTGGAGCTGTATCGGGCCGTTCTTGCCCGAAAAACGAGAAGCTGGAAAACCTTCACAAACCGAAAGACAACAATAGTTTTTGCGTCGTCCGGCACTTTGAGAGGTCCTCTCGGGGGCCGCTTGGGGTGTCTTGGAGGCCTCTTGAGCTGTACTGGAGCCATCTTGGGCTATCTTGGATCGCTCTTGAGCCGTCCTCGGGCCCATCTGGGCCTCTCTTACGCCGTCTGGTACCTTAAGCTGGCGAGGAGCTTACGCGCTTACGCGGAGCTTACGCGGAGATTTCGCGGACGTTACGCGGAACTTACGCGAGTTTACGCGGAGCTTACGCACCCGTTAACAAGGAATTGCATGTTAACGAGGCACCTGGCCCCGTTCAGGTACCCGTTAACAGGGAATTTACATGGAGTTCCATGTTAACGAGGCCCTGACCCCGCTCGGGCACCCGTTAACAGGGAATTTCGAGCAATTTCCCTGTTAACTGGTGCCTGAGTCAGCTCAAGCACCCGCCTTTCCATGTTAAAGGCTCCGTTAACAAGGAAAAGGGCATTAGATTCCTGGGGGACGGGATG